GATTGTTTTGAAGCAAATTTCAGGCAAAATACTTCAGCCATAACATCTTAGTATGTATCTCTAATAGATAAAAAGAACTCTGAAACATACCCACAATACTACTATCTTTGAAAATTAAAAAAATGTTTGCTTAATACAATCAGATTTCCATGACTGGCTAATATTTTCTTTTATAGTATTTTTTTTAATCAGAATTCTAGTTAGGTTCATGCGTTACAATTGGCTGATATGTCTCAAGTCTTTTTTAATTTATAGCTGTCTACCCTACCCCTTGTGATTTTTTTTTTTTTGTTGAAGAAGTTGGGTCACTTATCCCGAGATAAATGAGAATTATTCAGAATGAGGAGTCTTCTGCATTCTGAATTTTGCCAGTTGCTTCCTTGGGAGGTTATTTAAATGATTCTGTCTCTCTTATACTTCCTTTAATTGGCAGTAAGACTTAGAAACTTAATCAGATTCAGATTCCACTTTTTAGCCATAATATTTTATAGACAGGGCTCTGTGTCTACATCAGAAGCACAAAATGCTTGGTTGCCTCTCTTTGGGGTTGTTAGGAAGCATTGATGATCATAGCCTAAGAATTGCAAAATGGTAACGCTCTATCATTTATTTTTCTTTTGTAGGCTAGAATACTGTGCTTAAAGAAAACTTGTCCTCATCAACTATTTGGTTACTCTGAGATATAATACCTAAAGGAAAGGACAAGATATATCATTATTTTTCTTTATTTGTCAGTTTTTCCATTAATGAATTGATTCCCTAATATCTTCTAAAGTTGAACATTTTTAAACATCATTACAGTCCAATGGATTTAAACATATTTTATGTATTTAAATCCCTTGCAATTATTATTCTAATGGATGCTCAAGTTGTCCATTGGCTAGTGGGAGCCCTTTGAAGTTGGCCTAGCCTCGTCTTGCACATTTTCTGTCCCTGACCTAGAAACAATTGTTTCTCCAAGGAGCCCTGGTTCCTTTTAGTGGAAGTTGATATTTAGAATCTGTACACTAGGGGTGCTTATTCCTATTGAGTTGGTCCTTGCTTCTAAGCCTTTTCAATGAACACAACCAGGAAATACTTTGTAAAAGAAAATTCATCATGTGTTCATTTCATTTTGGGTATAAAAACACTTTTCCTTTTTTACTTAACTTACTTGATTTCATATCTGCATCTCCTTTCACTCTTGCTGAAAATCCCAGTTCCCAATATCACCAGCATAATTTCCCATCTCATAAAACGTACCCAAGATCTCAGAATAGTAATACCAATATGACCAACAACATGTGATTACTAAGAACAGTTTACGACTGGGGGGTGTGTGTGTGGTTTTTTCCCAGTTCTTTTTGTCCTTATATCCTACTAAGGATGGGCTATCAACTTACTGTTTTAAAATTTCTTTAACTAGTTTCTTCATCTGTGACTATGCCACCACTTGATATAGTATTGTGTTCATTTATTTCACTGTTTTTTTGAGTTTTTAGATATTGCTTATCAAATTTAACCTTTCCTTTTAATTCTATAAAATATTTATATAGTTCCAAAATTAAATCTATAAAAGAAGGTATATTCTGAGAAAGTTTAGCTTCTGTCCGTATCCTGTCTACCCTGTTCCCACTCTCCTTCATGGGTAATCTTTTTGGTTTTTGGTTTACCCTTTCATTGATTGTTAATACGGATGAGTATGTGTGTATGTCCCCTAGCCCTTTCTTAGATAAATAGAATTGGATTATACCCACTATTCTCTACCTTGCTTTTATTCGATTAATAGTATATTCTGGGCACCACTGCATGACACTATATAGAATATTCCTCATTCTTGTTGTATAGCTGCATAAATAGTCCATTTTGCTGATTACCCCAGCTTATCCTGTCAGATCCCAGTTGATGAACATTTGGGCTGTTTCCATTCTTTTGCTATTACAACAGTACTACCTTATATAGCCTTGTGCATGTATACGTCTTTTCATATTTTTTCCATTTTTTCATATTTTTGTATCTTTGGAATAGAGTTCTAGATCTAGAATTGCTGGGTCAGAGAGTAAAGGCATATGAATTTTGCAGGGTGTTGGAAAATTCCTCCCCACAGAGGTGGTGCCATTTTGCACTTTCCCCAGCAAGGTACTAGAATTCCTGGTTTCTCACAGCCACGTGTGTCGTTCAGCTTTGGGTTTTGCCTAGCTGATGGATGAGAAATAATGTCTCATTGTAGTTTTAATACATATTTTTCTCTTTAAGAGTGAGATTGAACATCTTTTCAAATGTTGAAAAGACTCTGCCTTTAGGAATCCTCCCCCACCAACATCCGCGCCAGGCAACTACTACTCCAGCATATGAAGGTGAACAACAGAGAGAGAGAGAAGGGCTGAATGAACAGAGAGGTCATTTGACAATCACGTGAGCAAGAGAAGAGATTAACTAGGCAAAGCGATGAAACAATAGAGCAGAGAAGGAAAACAAAATGGTGACACCGAGAGGAAGGCATTGAGTTTCTCTCCCTGGAGATTGTAGCTGGGGTTTTGTTGATGCATGTGCACAGATGAGAGTAGCCTACGCAGGCAGCAGTGATGTGTGACCTGTGGCTCCCTGGAAAGTAAGCGAAGAACTCACAGTCCAGCAACCAGAGAGGCTGGGCCTGAGCTGAACTGGAGCCAAGAAAGAGCCCCTCCTCGCTGCTCGCTCCACTGGGATGGAGCAACAGGCACTCCCATCCCCACCCCCAAGGTCTCATATGCCCGCTGGAGAGAGAGAGGATAGCGTCAGTGGTTGCAGTGAGATGGATGGGTGGGTTTTGAAAATGGGGGTTACCGAGGAAGTGACAATACACATATGCAATTTACTCTCTCCATGTTTCATATAGGCACTATGTAATTATTTAGTTTCTCTAAGCCTCAATTTACTGAAAATGGGGTAATAATCCCCGCCTATAAAATGAGGATAATAATAACATGTGCCTCTTAGTGTTGCAATTATCACAAGGATAATCCACATTAAGCCCTGACATGTAGTAAGCTCTTGAAACACATGAGCTCATTACTGCCAGCTGTGGTTGTTGTACTGTTAGGTGCTGCGGGGGGATTTAGAGATACAAGTCTTGAGGTTAAATCTCAGCTCTAACTTCATTAGCTCTGTGCCCATGATCTAGTTCCTTAACCTACTTGGCCTTAGTTTTCTCCTCTATAAAGTGGGGATAATAACTTTATAAATGCGTGCATTTAGATGAGATAATACATATAAAGCAATTAGCAGAGTAGGTCATCAGTATGAGTTGACTGCTACTACCGTTATTAGTATTATCTTGTTAAACTTCCTAATACGATTTTCTATTAAAAATGCTTGACAACTATTTTAGATAATTCCAGAAGGTTATAGAATTAAGAGAAGAAGGGTGGGCTCCATTTGGCTATAGTTTATGAAACTGATCACCTGTGGAAATCTACAAACTTTGCAGAGAGAGAAGTGCTAGATAGCTCTTTATTCCCTCCCCAGTTTTACTCAGGGCAGTTTGGGCATCTGGTATTTCTACAGTAAGAGGGTCCAAAGGAAGCAGAGGTTGGTTCCTTTAAAACAGGGAGGCTGCTTAGCTTAAGATCTCTGAGTTTGTGCAATCTCGCCTGGGAAAATCCAGGCTCTGTGACTCGCTAACCCAGGGCTGGTTACTTAACCTCCATCAGCCTCAGCTTTCTTGGGAAGTAATAACAGCACCAACCCCACAGGGCTTTCTGTCCTGTGCTTAGTGAATACGACTGTGTATGTGGAGTCAGCTCTCCGTCAAGGGCGGTGGTGACAACAGTGGCAGCAGCACTGTGGTGGGTGTCATCATCCCATCATTAGCCTTGGGAAGTATCTTCTTCAGGGTGGGCTGGGCTAGACTGTGTTAACAAACACCCCCAAACCCCAGTGGCCTGAAGACAGGACTTAGTATCTCACAAAGACCACTGAGGCTGCATGGTTAGCAGAAGTCATCAGGGTGTCTGCTCCTCAGAGTCACCCAAAGGCCCCAGCCGATGGGATGGGACTTCCATCTGGACACTTGCTTTCACAGTCACCGAGGCAGGAAAGGGAAACTTTGCAAATCATGCACTGGCTCCTAAAGTTTCTGCATGAACACAACATGCTTCACTTCGGCTCTCACTTTATTGGTCAGAGCAATTACACAACCTTGTATAAGTTCCCAAGGGGGGGACAATGAATTGTGCCCTGGAGGAGGAATAGCTCTAACAGCCAGCCCAGGGGCCAAAGGTCTGGCTGCAGGAAGAGGCAGGGGTGGTGGGGAAGACACAGCAGAGAATGGGGACGCCCAGGTGGGATGCTGGGGTGTGTGGGCAGAGGGAGAGCAAGGGCCTGAGATAACAGGCTTGGCAAGACCAGAGACTGCCAGCAGCTGTGCCTAGACCACCCAGTGTCTTGTGGCGTTACCTGCCAGGGACTGTGTTCATTCACCCTGGCATTCATTCATTTATTCATCCAACCGATAATCATTGAGGAACGACTGCCTGCCAAGCGCTATGCTAAATGCTGGGGATACTGAGTTGTGTAAGACGAGTAAGACAGTCCGTGCCCTCCCAGAGCTCACAGTGGAGCAGGCAGTGTCATGGCCTTGAGCTGAGCGTGGGGGTCCCGACCACTCTCCAGTGCTGGAGGGAGCGAGGAGGTGGGCTGGGTTCATGCCTCTGCCTCGGGCCCGACAATTGATTGAGAAACAAAGAAAAAACCAGTGTGACCCAAATATTAGCTATACTTTGGCCCTTCTAGAATGACAAAGGTACTTTGCTTAAAGGATTCTTTTCGTTTCTCCCCTCTGGCTTCTAATAAAACTCCACATGATATAACTGGACATATCCATAAAAATCCCAGTAGACAAAACTCACAGTTTATAGTTTATATAATTTTCCATAAAAACAAAAACAATACTTGTTGGCTGATACATTTTATAGTGAGGTTTTTTGTTTGCTCATTATTTCCCCCCAAGAAAGCTGCTTCTCTCCCTTCTGTCCTCCCAGCTCCCTGCGGCGGGCACCTGACTTCACCCAGTGGCACCATCCTCTCCCCGGGCTGGCCCGGCTTCTACAAGGATGCCTTGAGCTGTGCCTGGGTGATCGAAGCCCAGCCTGGCTACCCCATCAAAATCACCTTCGACAGGTGCTTATAACCACAGCCTTGGGGGAGGGGGGGAGGGAGTGATTTCCATGGATCTGTGTGGGAGGGAATCTGCAATGGGTGGGGAGGACCAGCACTGATGCTGAATTGTCAGGAAGGTCACAGAACACTGGACTCGTCTGCCCTGAGTGGGTAGGCTTCCCTGGCTCTGCCCATCAGCTTGGTTGGCGCTGTTTAGGGGATTATGGCAGGAGGGGTGAAGCGAAGGCTGGGGTATCATTTGCAGTGTCAGAGCCCCGACACCACCCCTGCCATCCCCCAAGAAGGGATTGTGGACAGACAGATACCATCAGATGCTAAAGCGCAGCATCAGCATCTGAGGGGCATTGGCCTGGAAATTCCTAACACAGGAAGCAGCCTCCCTGACCTTGGGCCCAAACCCTGCTCACATGCCCCACTTCTAGCGCCCACTCTGGTTGTGCCCCTCGGGTGGAGAAAGTAGCCACCCAGATAAGAACACGGACTCCTTCCAGACAAAAGTGTTCACGGCCTGGAATAGCAGTCCACAAACTTTTCTGTGAAGAGCCAGATGGTAAATATTTTAGATTTTGTGGGCCACTTGCCCACTTGCAGATCTCTGATGCATATTCTTCTGTGCTTTTTGTTTTTAATGTCTCTTTACAAATGTAAAAACCATTCTCTGCGCTCCAGGCTGTAGACCAGATTTGGCCCTGGGGCTTTGGTTTGTTGACCTCCAGCCTAGAACATTCTGACCCCAAGAGAAGAGTCACTGTGCCTCTAGGTCATAAGAGGGGTCCTGGCCCAGGCCACAGAGAGGATGAGAGAGCTGCTCCCCGCAGTGAAGGAGGAGCGGGAGTGTCGAACAGAGTAGGAAAGGTCCTTCCGCATCGCCAGGGAATGTGCGCGATTATATTGAAGATCCCAGCAGGCCAAAATCTGGCTGGTTGTTCTGAAGCCCTGGGTCAGGCAGGGCTTTTGTTATTTGCACATTAATAAGCCTTCAGTTTCTCAAGAAATCTTCATCTCCATCATTCGGCAGATTTAAAACCGAGGTCAACTATGACACCCTGGAAGTACGAGATGGGCGGACGTACTCAGCGCCCTTGATCGGGGTTTACCATGGGACCCAGGTCCCCCAGTTCCTCATCAGCACCAGCAACTACCTCTACCTCCTCTTCTCCACAGACAAGAGTCACTCGGACATCGGCTTCCAGCTCCGCTATGAGAGTGAGTCTCCATGGCTGGGCGCAGGGAGAGGGTGAAATGTCTGGGGACTATTGCTCCACCGTAGGCCCCAGCTTGGCCCCATCCCCATGGCACTCTCAGTTAGGCTGTGCCCTGGGGAAGGCGCTCCCCGACTCTCAGCATCCCTCAGGGGGCATGAGAGTTTAGAGTCGTTCATGACCTTCACACCGGGTCCGTGTGTGCAGACCTCATGGCCTGTTCTGTGTACAGCTCATTGGGTGCCACTCTGCTGGGCACTCAGGGACAGATGATTTGATGGACCATGAAGCTGAAGCGAGCTGGCATCTCCGCACACACTCACCCTCCCTCATCACCTTCCGCATTCATCCCCCTGTTTAAAGGATCCGTGTCACTTCGGTGCTTTTTAGACCCATATAGAAAGTTAGGGTTGAGAGCACCATGGGGACAGGGTCATTTCCTTACTCATATCTGTATCCCTAAGCCTCAGCTCAGCGCCTAAACCACAGTGGACACCCAACTATTTATTGAACGAACAGACGCATGAACAAATGATTGAGCCAGCTTGTTTTCTCTGGGGCATAGGTCTTTAGACACCCTCTCAGCAGACACTGACAGCCACGTTGCTTGAGTTGGTAATTAGCAACTTCTGCCTTTTATTAATCAGGGCTTTCTTCTCCCTCTTTGCGAGGCAGCTGGGGTCCCTGTGTGGTGACAGTGAGCTGTCTATTCCAGCTGTGGCCTCTCTCTTCCAGCTATAACACTGCAGTCAGACCACTGTCTGGACCCAGGGATCCCCGTAAATGGGCAGCGTCATGGGAATGACTTCTACGTGGGCGCTCTGGTGACCTTCAGTTGCGACTCGGGCTACACGTTAAGTGACGGGGAGCCCCTGGAGTGTGAGCCCAACTTCCAGTGGAGCCGGGCCCTGCCCAGCTGCGAAGGTGAGGCGCACCATAGGGGGCGCTGACGTAGCAGATCCCTTTCCCGCCATGAAAAACCAGGAGCTCAAAGGGCCACTGACTCCGCCACCCCATCAGTGAGGGCAGGGGTTTCGAGAGGAGATGGGGGACGGGGTCCCAGGGGGATCATGGGGTGAGCTCCCTGAGCCACTACAATCTTTCACTGCCCTCTTTGCTCCTTCTATAGCTCTCTGTGGTGGCTTCATTCAAGGCTCCAGCGGGACCATCTTATCGCCAGGGTTCCCTGACTTCTACCCCAACAACTTGAACTGCACCTGGATTATTGAAACATCACATGGCAAGGGTGAGTGTTGAGGTCTATAGCAGGTATTGGGGTGTGAAACGGTCAGGGCCCAAGTTCCCCAGGTCAAGGCAACCTCATTGGATATCTCCCTATATAGTGACGTCTGGGCTTAGTCTGAATTTTTCTCACCACCACCAACAAAAAAAACTTCCAGAACTTTCCCATCTCTTTGAATCACAGAACTCACTCAATAAATATTATTGAGAATCTAAAATCTCCATGCTAGAAGAGATCTTAGAAGTTACCAGCTATCAAATCTCACTCAGTGCAGGAATCTGCTCTAAATCACACCATACAAGATGGTAACACACCCTCCCCCTAAACACCCCCTGTGCTGGGAGGTCACCAGCCTGTTCAACAAATCTATCAGTTTTTGATATATGCTGTCTATCAGGTATATCTGAAACCTGTCTCCTTGTCTTGTGTCCTGGAGAAACATCAGATACCTCTCTGCTCCCTCCTCCTTATCCACCCTTCGAATACTGAACACAGTGGTCCCTTCTTGCATAAATCAACTCCTCTGATGCCATGTGTTCATATTCCTCGCCAGCCTACACAGTCCAAGTTCAGAGTAATAGTGCTGGTTACAAATAAAAATTAGTTGATATACTCTTTATTCAACAAATACTTATTAAATGCCACCTAAGTGGCAGATACGGGGCTGGGGATCAGCAGTAACCAGGCAGATATGGCCTCTACCCTCAGAAGCTTATTCCAAAGTTCATCTAGAGTTGTGGCTCTTGCATTTTGGAAAATACACTAACACTTAGGCCCCACCCTAGAGGTTTTGATTTTCTGTGTTGGAGGTGGAAACCAGGCATCTCTGTTTTCAGAACGCTTTGCCAGTAATTTTGATGCATGCCTTTTGTTAAGAAGCTCTGATCTAGAAGAATTAACCTGTAGAAGAGCCAAGAAAAAATTGTGATGGAAAAACATTGACCCCACTATAATTAAAGAAATTCAATTTCAACCAGTAATGAAATACCACTTCGCTTTTCAAGTCATCAAAGAAAATGCTAACAGTCTAGGGGAGAGTGTGGACACATGAATACTATTCCCTGCTGACATTGTCTGAAACGGTTCAAATTTTCCAGATGGTTTGGTGAGATGAACAAAAAGCCTTAAAAGTATACTGTAAGGGACTTGAGTATCTACAGATTGTGGCAGCTTGGGGGGTCCTGGAACCAATCCCCCACAGACACAGAGGGCAACTGTACATGCCTTTGAACCCAGCAATGCCACTTACTGGAATTTATCTGAAGAAAATAAGTAAAACTGTACGTCGAGGTTTAGCTGCAAGGATGTCCCCTAAGGCATTATTTATTATACTGAAAAATTAGGAACTATTCAAATGTCCATCAATAAGGAAATGTTAAATGAACATATGTTACAGCCATAGAATAAAATACTAGGCAGCTACTAAAAGGAATAATATGAAAGAATATTTAAAGACCTAGAGAGGTGGTTGCAATACATCGTTAAGTAAAAAAGGAAGTTTGCTAAAAGAATATTTTTAGTTTATAAGACATCTTTGTATGCATAGAAAACAGCCTGAAAAAGAGATACCTCAAGCTGTTGTTTCTAGTTGTCTCTTATTTTCCTCTTTTGGCTTTCTTCTAATTTTGAGCAATAAACATATATTACATGTAAAATATACTATTTGTATGCAAAAGAAAATTTGAAAGAAAAATCATTTATAGTCCCACCACATGTACTTACGTGCTATAGTTTGGCCTTTACCGGGCCTGCCCAAGCCAGAGCTAGGGTGGCCCGGAGCTTCTTGGGGCAGGGCAGGACTCTCCTGGCAGTCAAGGTGAGGCCTGGGGTTGTCCCCATCCTCCCACAGTATTGTTCCTAAGGAGGGAACGGATAGGGACAGTGCCCTTGTTCATCCTGCAGAGCCGTTTCCACCCAGCATGGTCAGAGGAGGCTGTTAGAGGAGCCGGAAGCTACCCTGTGGCATCCAGAGGGGTAGAAGGGCAGCCCTCATGAACCCTAGGGGGACACGGCAGTGGTCATGGTTTCCTCTGTGTCTGGGCATCTGTGACTCTAGAGGTGTATGTTCCTCTATGCATTGCTATGTGTGTCTTTGCCTAGAAGTCAGTGCAGCTCATCAACTATTTAACAAATGCTTATTTGATACTTGCACTACTCAAGTTGCTAGGAAAACACAGCTGAGCAAGCCACTCTGCCGTTGCCTGCCTTCAGGAAGTTCATGGTCTAGTGGTAGAGGCAGGTAGCCTGCATGGAGATGTCAGGATAGCATGGCCCGTGTGTGGTAGAGCACATAGAGGTGGGGAAGCATCCAGAGCCCATCTGGGGGTCAGGAAGGTGTCCTGGAGTTGAGACTTAAGCTAGCCTTCAAGGACGACCGGGAACTAGCTGGGATGAAGGTGGCTCTGCAGGGAATCAACAAGATGTCATGGATGGATGGCCAGATCACTTCTCCCTTCGAGACATTTAAAGGTGTCACCTAACCCGTAGCATAGAGCCCCACATTGTAAAACAGCTGGCACAGCCCTGTGGGCTTTGCCTACCTCCCTTAGCCTCATTCCAAGCCCTTTTCACTTCCTAGAGCTAGCTGGGTTTTCTCTCTCCTCTAGAGCTTTGCACGTTTGTACAATATTCTTCTCTCTGGAACGCTTCCACTCCCCAAGCAAGGAGAATGGGAATCTCTACCACTGCCCCTGCTTAGCCCACCCTTCATCCTTCTGGGTTTACATCCCCCTCATGAGCTTTCCCTGACCCTGTACCCAGCCCTGCATCTGGGCTGGCTTCCCTCCCGTGGGCTCCCACAGCCTCCTGTACTTCCTCAATTTCAGACTCTACCCCACCATACAGAACTTGCATTCTCATCATCTGTCTCTCCAGCAGACTATGAGCTCTTTGAGAGATGGGTCTACCTTGTTTCCTGCAGTTTCCCCAGCTTCTGGCTCTATGCCTGGCAATAAGGAACTCGAGAAGTATTTGGTGATATGAATTGAATTGAACTGAGCCCAGACCCTTCTCCAGAGGGCATTCCTCGGTCTCTGTTTATAAAAGTATCTCGAGCTAACAGACCTATTAAGCCACTGACTTTGCTCCCTAACAGGGAGCACAGCTCAGGAAACTCAAACCTTTGGGAAATTCAGAATAGTTCAACTTGCCCCATGTCCAGCCCAAGGGAACAGCAAATTCAGGAGTCCCGAGAATGTGCCCTTGCTGAGACCCCAGAACTGGCTTATTTCAACCCACAAGGCTGCCTGGGAATTAGATGAGCTGAGCAAAGAGAACACCTACTGTTGCACACCTACTGTGTGCCAGGCACTGTGCTGGGTGCTTTGCATATGCTATCCCAACTAGTCTCCGCTTTATGGATTAGCTGTCTCCTGTGAGGGGGATATTACCATCTACAAACGATAGCTGAGGCCCTAGAACTCAGGAGGGGCTAAGCAACCTTGGCCAAGACCCTTGAGCTAGTAGACAGCCTTTCAATGCAGGTCTGCCTTCCTCCCGAGCCCAGGCCTTTCCCGCTGCCCTGCTCATTCTGCCCCAGCCTGGCGTGGATGTCGTCCATAGGATCCTGCACGGTTCACTCCGGGGAAGTATCCATGCGTGTGCATCTGTCACATAAAATCTGGATTCAAACTCCAACATGGGGCATCTCTATTTTTGTGACAAATCTTCGTTCTGTCACAATGGCCCAAAAAGCCCCAAGCAATCAGCACAGCTGGAAAACCCAGGGGTTTCATCTCAGTTGTTTGCTCATCCTCAGAATCCTAGCCAAATGTTTACTCCTTGGAGGGGCCGTATTTGCATGCTAGGAGAACGGAATGCAGAACGTGGTGCTTAATCAACTTGTTTCCACCTGTTACTGTGTCTGACCCTCTCTCCACCCGACTCGGTGTTCCAAGTAGGAGGGAAAGGAGTATATTTCCCAAGCTCTATAGACTGAGGACAGTTTTCTCATTTGCACACGTGTTAATGTGTCAGGAGTATAGCACGTGTGAGGGCACATGTACCCACAACCCCTGTGAAGTTTCCCAAGCCTTGAGGCTTAGCTATCCCCTCTTCCTCTGTGCCCCCTCTGGATCCTCACCATTGATGTGTCTGGGAGATCTTTCTCAGTGCTTAGCACAAGACTGGGTGCTCAGGAGGTGCTTGGGACCTGTTCCTTTGAGCAACACATACATGAGTGCATCTCAGTTGCACAGGGCATCTACAGCCGTATCCCTGGTCCCACCCCCTCTGCTGGGTGCTGTCTCCTCCACCCCCACCCAAAGGAGCCCAAATACTCCAGGAGCACTAGTTTCCATCAACAGGGAGGCAAGAATATCAAAACATTTAAAATGCTTCAGCATTAGGGGCTTGAATCCAACCACCATTTATCAAAAATGCATTAGTAATTATCTAGAGAAGTATCTCTCAAACTTCTGTGCCTGCAGATCATTTGGGGATCTAGTTCGCTTGCAGATTCCGCATTTCCAACAAGCTCCCAGGCGATGCCACACTGCTTGTCCCTGGACCGCACTTTGAGTAGCAAGTGGGTCTAGCACGCCTAGTCTAACCATGTTCCCACCCTGGCACTGTCCACGATATGTATTCCCATGGGCACACTCACTGAGTGGGCACACACGTACCCATATGCCCACCAAACACAGCTGCCATCTGGACAAGTTCAAGAGTTATTTTGGGGGTTAAGATCCTATTGCTTCATAACCTTCCTCACTTCTTGATCCACCTCGCCCAATCTGACCTTGCAGTGGCCACTGGATACCACTGCTTGGATGCTGAAAAGGCTAAGTCCCTTCCTCTTTTACACCCTGTCCCTCTACCTCCTGTATGTCCTTCCACAGGTAACGAAAGACATCACCATCCTTCAGGTCGACACGCTCCCAGCCATCCTTGCATTTCTCCTTTGTGTGCGGTGCCTGCTGCCCTGTCCACCCGATCCCAGGGCTCATGCCCAGCGCAGAGCAGCCGCCACTCTAACGGATCTCTCTGCCTCCTCTTCACCCTCCTCACAGCCACCAACACTTTGCTAAAACTAAAACCTGACCCGCTCTGAATAGGACAGCTTCTCATTGCCTCCAGAAAGATGTCGGATCTGGCCCCAGCCTACCTGTCCAGCCTCAATTCCAGGTGTCTCTTCTGAGTGGGCCCAGCCATGCTGTGCTGCTCACTGAGCCCTGGAATCAACAGCACCTCTGTCCCTTTACACATGTGGGTCCCCTGCCTGGGACGCTCTTTCTCCTCTTACCTGGTCAAGCCCCGTGCCTCCTTTTAAGACCCACATCAGATGTTCACTCCTCAGTGAAGCCACCCCACTCTCCCCTCTTCCTGCTGTCACCTGCTTTCTACTCTGCCCATGGCACGCTGAGCTACCTTGGTTATGTTATAGCATTTGTCCCTCTGGATTCCAGCTAATCGTTTAATGTCTCGTTCCCCGCACCTAACCCTGGATCTTAGCCCATAGCAAGGACTCAACAAACATACAAATGCTTGTAGAATGAATGAAGAAACGGCTGTGGAGCATTCTCATAGGCCTAGCCATAAATCTCTCAAATTTTGGCACCATAGAGATACGTCCTTCTCCTGACTGGCTCTTCCTGTACCGGCGTGTTCAGGTTCATTTGTTCAGAGTCGCCCGTACGTTTTATCAGTGCGTGATTGCAGTCACACATATCCATAGACGTTTGCAAATTGGAAAAGTTTGTGCAGATCCCAGCTCGCAGCTTCAGCCATCTCACCGTCACCAACCTGACCCTTGTGGTCTCTCGGCAGGTGTGTTCTTTACTTTCCACACCTTCCACCTGGAGAGCGGCCACGACTACCTCCTCATCACCGAGAACGGCAGCTTCACCCAGCCCCTGAGGCAGCTGACTGGCTCCCGGCTGCCGGCTCCCATCAGCGCCGGGCTCTACGGCAACTTCACCGCGCAGGTCCGCTTCATTTCTGACTTCTCCATGTCATACGAAGGATTCAACATCACCTTCTCAGGTAAAGAGCGCGAGGGGCCCTGGCGGGGGAAGGGACCGTGGAGCCATTCCCTCTTTCCCTCCGCTGCCAGTCTCTGGTTTTCCTGCCAGGAAGATGGATGTTAATCCACTCCCCAGTCTCTGGCAGAATGATCTCAATTCTGCAGCAAAAGACATTTGAGTTAGACACAAGGAAGAACTTCCCTATAATGGTCTTGGAAAGAGTGAGCAGGTTCACTGGAGAATCTTCTCTGAAGGTGTTTGGGATTCTCTCTGAACATGGCCTACCCAGCTGGTTGAACTAGAGGACTTCACAAAGTCCCTTCCTGCCCTGGTAATTCCAAATTTTTCTCCTGATTCCACTTCCACTATTTTACAACTCCAGCAATTTAAAACAATTTCAAAGAAGGGGGTTTGAAATTAACATATCACGGTGATTTAGTCTCGTTTGGGACCTTCCTCATCGATGCTAATTTGGTAGTACTAGATATTTATCTCGTGTTCGGGAATCCTGAAAAGAAACCTCTTTCATGTGGCATTCGGGGAGGAAAGAGGACGCTGGGCTCCTCTGTCCTGCGTTCCCCGCCCCTTGTGTCCCATCGTGCCCCAGAGCACCCCACCCTTCTCAGCCAGGACCAGGGATAGCAGATGGATTCCTCCTGCAGGGAGCAAGAGGTATCTGGCGTCTAGGAACTCTACCCGTCGCTGGCCTCCAACGCAGAAGCCGCCTGCCACGTGCCTGGGCTGGCCTGGCCGACAGGACGTATCTGGCCAGTGTGCCTCCACCCATATGAGACCCTCCTCACCACACAGAGCCCTGGGGGACTGCGTCCCAGAGAGAAGATGGCCTTGGGGACGAGGGGCTGCTTACTTCTATGCTGTCACTAGAGGCACTGGGCAGGTCCCTGGCTCATGATTGCCACCCGTCATGCTTACCATCTGCCTCAAGTGCCAGCGTCGCTGAGGCATAGAGTCTCTTCCCTGGTGTGAGTTGCCCGAGGCTGGGTCACACATTCTGACCCTCTGGAACCAGCCGGTTGTGCTTATCTAGTTCAGTGCCCAGAGAAAGAGGGTCTGCGAGCCCCAAGGCTTGGGGTTAAAATGGAGATGGAGGGAAGCGGAGGGGAGGGCTGATTCCTGAGGAACCTTCTGGGAAGCCTGTCTTGGAACGGCTGTGCCCTTTCCTGCTGCTGGCAGGAGTGTGGCGTAGACCACCCACCCTCGCCTCCCCGCTTCTCTCTCTGCCTCTGCTCCTCTGGGCTCTCGCCTCTTTTCTCTTCACCTTTCCCGGGCCAGCGTGTGCGCCTTCTGGTGCTCTGTCTGTCTTTGTCTCTGGCCTTCCCCCAGCACTCAGGCCTGCGTGTGCCCATCTTCTTGCTCTGCATCTCCCGAGATGTCTCTGAGCCCGACTGTCTCGCTGTCTTCCTTTGCAGAGTACGACCTGGAGCCCTGCGAGGAGCCCGAGGTCCCGGCCTACAGCATCCGCAAGGGCTTGCAGTTCGGCGTGGGCGACACCTTGACCTTCTCCTGCTTCCCCGGGTACCGTCTGGAGGGCACCGCCCGCATCACGTGCCTGGGGGGCAGACGGCGCCTGTGGAGCTCGCCTCTGCCAAGGTGTGTTGGTAGGTGGTCACGTGCTTTCATTTTGCTTCACTAGTGGGGTGGGCCAGGTTCTAGTCAATTGGTGTGAGGTGGTGGACTGCGCACGGACCAAGAGGCAAACAGGCCTGGGTTTGAGGAGGGACTGAGCCCACACTTACCTGCAGGGGGACCTAAGGCAGGCAACCTAACCTCCTCCTGCCCCAGCCTCCTTGTCTGTGAACCAGGGATGGCAATACCTGCTTCGTGGGGCTGTTCTGTAGACTAAACTGACTATGCAGGGTCCACAGGGCCACGCACGTGAACTTAACTTCAGTTCTCACCTCCCCACCCTTAACACACAGACCCATAGCCTAAGGATGCCTCTGGGTGGGCCTGGGCCGGCCCATAGGGAGGAGATACGGCCTTTGCCCACGGGGCGTCCCCATCTGGGAGGGTGTATGTGTGCTCTGACTAGTCTGATGGGGGTACTCGCGCTTGGAGACTCCCCGAGAAAACTACATCCATCCAGCAGGGGAGGAGCGAGGACAGGAGTCGGCTCATTTAGGGAGCACCCATTCCATGTCAGGCACGCTGCTAGCTTCCAGGGATGTGAAAGTGAGCAAGACAGAGAAAGTCTCTCCACTCGTGGTCCACATTCTGGGGCCAGGGGCACAAGCCATAAACACACAGATGTGTAATGTGTCAGGCAGTGTGGAGGGGCACAGAGAAAACTGTCAGCTCAGACAGTGCTGGAGGTAGGGCCACCCTTTCATGAAGAGTGGGCAGGAAAGGCCTCTCTGATGAGTTGACATTTTAGCAGAGATCTGCAGGAATTCAAGAAGCCAACCACTCAGATATCTGGAAGAAGGGGAAGCAGAGGTGCAAGACCCCGAGCCATGAGCACGCTCAGTGTGTGAGGAACAGCCGGGAGGCCGGTCTGGAGCCAGCGACAGGGAGAACAGGAGATGCTGACCAGGAGGTAGCTAGTTGGAGGTTGGAACCAGCCCTTGCCTGCCTCCTCATGAGAGCTCTAAAGAAGGCTGTTCAGAGCTCCAGGCCCAGAGGGTAGGGGAAGAAGGGGAAAGCCCAGGAAGCAGGGATGATTGCTGGCTGTTCCTAACATGTGAGGCTCATGGCTCTGCCTGCTCAATCCTCAAAATGCAGGGCTGGATGAAACACTGGCTAGATTCATGAAATACGTACCATGCTCACTATTAGCTGTGGAACTTGCTTAAAATGAAATATTACAGAAAACCCCATAAAAATACACAAAACAGATAAAAGCAGCACCAAACTGACTGAAAAGAGACCAGTATCTCAAAAGTGGGTGAGGTCAGCCTTGCCTAAGATGACCCCACAGAGCCCTCGGGCTCTTCAGAGGACAGCGTAGAGAGTCTGGCAGGGTAGGCGTGGCCTGGGCTATGCAGTCACACAGGCCAAGGTGGAGTCTCCACTCTGCCACTTAGCGACAGTTAGATCTCAGTCAGGTCAGTAAACCCCCTCAGCCTCAGCTCCGTCGTTCATTAAGTGGAGATAACAGGCCGGGTGCAGTGACTCACACCTGTGATCCTAGCACTCTGGGAGACGTAGGCGGGAGGATTGCTTTAGGCCAGGAGTCTGAGACCAGCCTGAGCAAGAGCGAGACCCATCTCTACAAAAAATACAAAAATTGGCCAACCATGGTGGCGCGTGCCTGTAGTCCCAGCTACTTGGGAGGCTGAGGCAGGAGGATCGCTTGAGCCCCGGGAGCTTGAGTTTGCAGTGAGCTATGATGACGCCACTGTACTCTAGCCCAGGTAACAGAGCAAGACCTTGTCTCAAAAAATAAATGGAGATAACAGCATCCAACTCACAGCCTTTATTCTAGATTAAATGACATAAATTGCATAAACCAGGAGGTGCCATGTAATGATTGTCATTTTGCCAGTAACCTTATCATTATTTATCAATAACCAATTATCATTATTTTGCCAATGACCTTTTATAATCTCAGAGAGAAAACCTTAAGACAAAGAGTTGCAGAATTCTATTTTTGACCAATTAAATAACCCCAAAGTTTACCTCTTCTCCTATAGCCATGCCCCGAGGCACCCGCCCACCCTGGCCTGGCCACACACACTCAGACACACAGGGAGCCTCCCCGGGCGCTTCAGTTTGTATCCGGGTGCTAGCAGCTGCTTCAGTGTCTGGGAAAGCATCCGCAGCTAAGTGTTTCTGGGGGAATCTTTTCTTGAATGGGATTATCCGGGACCACAGATGCACAGAGCCCTTGAGCTCTTGCCTCATTGATCTCATTACATAAACTCATTCTTTAACTTATTATTCCAATTACTGTTTGTTCGTGACACCTCACAATATTTTCATTATTACATTTGTCTTCTGTTTCACATGTTATTAATAACGCACAGCAATTATAATCACCTCTAATTACCACCAGCCCTGCTGCAGAGGCTCAGGCTGGAGGTGCCGTGGGAATGCCCACCGGGGGATGCTCCCAGTTGCCACACACACTGTAGGTGTAAATTGGATGATTTAGCCCACACAGTTACCAGGAACGTTCCCAGCTGAGAAGGAGATGAACAGCCCTGGGCTCTACTTCACGGTGTGACATTGGGGCGGGGGGACACAGCCTCTGACCTCAGGGGCCCCTGAATTCAATGTGGAAGAGACAGCGCTGATCCCAGGGGAACCCAGTCTGCAGTAGGGGGCATGGCCCTGTCCTTGGGAGCCCTGGCATGATGGAGAAGCCCTAACCCTCTGCCTCGGGAGCCCCACACAGAAGGATAAGATACAGCCTGTGCCCTTAACAAGACCTCTTCCAGTGGGGGTGACAGAAGTCACAGATGCTGGAATCAGCAGTGGCACTTTCCTGTGCCTGTGACTGTTTGTTTCTCTGGAACATTCATTTGTTTCCATTTACGCCTGTGTTTGGTGTCTTGGTGCATCTGCTCACCTCCTCTGTTACTTTGGAAACTCTCCCAGAAGCAAGCGCCATGTCCCTCTACCCTCCTGAATCCCCTGGTGCCCAGGACAGAGGCCTGGCAGGGAGTCAAGACCTGGGAGTGGCCAAGGACTGGCCACATCTGAAGCTCTCAGCCCCTCCTCATGAAGGTGTTGGGCGTGTGGGAAAGAGGAGAGGGTCCTGCCGTGGCAGAGACGGGACACAAAGCTGTTAGGCAGGCAGCAGGGCCAGGAAGGAGGTCCAAAGATATGCCAAAGCCCATGTTTAAGGGAACTAGGCAGAGGGCAAGAGGCATCAGGAGCTGTGAGGGTGCTGTGAACCTGGGGCAGATAACACACGCTCCCCATGAGCATCTTAGCTTTCTGCCAGTCCCGGAGCGTGGGCTCCAAATGGAAGCAGGTAAGCTGATACATTCACCTGCGACAGAGGGGAAAGAGAGAAGGAATAACACTGGTTGAGGGCCCGCTATGTGCGACCACTCCCCATACGTTTCCCTGTCTACACGTAAAATCTCATGTATTTATCGCACAGTCGGATGCAAATGCTGTTACTGTCCAGACGAAGGCAGATGAAAAGACTGAGGGTCAGAGAGGTGATAAAACTTGTCTAACTCTAACATCTGCGGTCATCCCACTGCACCATGGGCCTCTGCCTAGATGGAGGGGAATGGTGCGAGGGATGCTTCAGGGGGCTGCCCTTGTGCTATGACTAATAAATGTCTAAATGCACATGGCCCTCAGCAACCCCTCCCCACCCTCAGCGGAGGGTGCCCAGGAAATGTATACACTCCGAAAACTCATCCACGTAAATTATCAGCAGCCACTGCCCCCAGGTGCCTGTCCACCACTGTCCCTTTAGTTTCGTGCCCCACCTCAGCACATTTGTGGTGATATTTGGTCAGTTTGCAAACAGTCTAAGTTTAAAGCACTGCAAAGTTAGATTTCTCTGCTAACATAAATAAAGGAGGGCTATGTAAAGTCTTGGGAAACTGAACAGGGCAGAACCCAGAGAGTAGGGCCCGTTGAAAAGTAGGGACTTGGTGGTGGGACATATGGTCCTCAAAAACTAGGGAACAGCCTTGTGGACAGGAGAACACATATGCCTATCACTAAGCCCACAAGAGGTTCAGCTCTGACTGTTTCCGTGGGCTCGTCTGTGCAGCCTCAGCCTAGGACACTCCTGGCTTAGAGTAACTGGAGTTGACGGTACGGTCAGAGCAGTGGCCCCTTGGTCAACCTCAGGGTCCTTCCAGCCAAGGACTATGCCTAGAATAAGGACACCGAAGGATGATTTAGAGAAAGCAGACTTGCTACCAGCAACCTCAAAGATTCAAGACATGTGCCAGATTCCCCATATGTCCAGACAAATGATGGGCCTGCCATCTGGACTTGTATTTACATCCTTCCGGAACCTAATTATTTTTAGGACTGTACATCTTCTGAGGTCAGTGTACTCCATATTCATTCATTCGTTCACTGGGTAAATATTTATCTTACAGACGATCTGGGCTAAGCCTTGGAAAGTCACAGATTCATCAAGCATGACCCTGGCCCTCCAGTCACTCACAGTCTGGATGGGGGATACAGGCGAGAAGCAAGCAGTCAGGGTGCAACACGGCGGGTGCTCTGAGACGGGGAAGCGCAGAGAGGGGCTTCACGGTTATTAGGGATCTTAGAGCGCCAACGGCAGGGCTCCTCGGCGCATGCCCTGCCCACGCACTGAGTGGTGTCACGGAGACAGTGACATGCCCCAGCCCCAGAGGATCCACAGCGCAGCGGAGGAGATAGAAATGTTAACAAATAAGTCAAGTAAAATGTGATGACTGCTATAAATAAAGGCGTGAGAACAATGGGGAAAGAATGACTAATTCTGGAGGAAGAGAAACAGATTCCCAGAGGAGGGTGTGATTTCATCAGCTGTCGAATGAAAGAGGGGTCAGTGAAACTGTGCTAAACTTTCTCCAGAGCCTCGGGGGCCCTAAACTGCAGGACCAAGGAGATCGAGTTCGCAGTCCCCTCCTCTTCATGAATTGAGAGACGTAGTGTAAATTGCTAAGTAGTATGTTCTTTATCTTTACAACAGGGATAATTGTGCCTACCTTACGGGGTTGGTTGTTGTGACTAATAACCGAAATGATCCTTGTAAAGCATCCGTCACGGTGTCGTGCCTGAAAGGGTTAGCGATTATTATTTGATCTTGTCCCCACTTAGTTTCTATTCTCTGATACCGAAAGGCTTTGTCTCTCTTCACTTAACTGCCCCCTCCTCCTCGGCCTCCTCCTCGGTCACTGCTGTTGCTATGATACCGTGTGAGCAGGCATGGGGAGCGGCTGCTTCAGAGCACTGTGAAAGTAAAGGTGCCCGGTGGGTTAGTTTCTGTTTCTGCAGAAGAGAGACAGACAGAATGAAAGAGATACACAGACCAGGCAGAACTGTAGGTAGGAAGGTATTGAAAAGAAGTGTGGTCAGCATTCCTGGAGACAGGCAGGCAAATGGGCAGGTGTGCAGGCATCCTGGCAGGTAGACAGGCAAACCACTTGGCATCTTTGTAAGGTTTTCCAGAACTGTGAGTTGTTTTCTGGATGCAGCTGCCTGGGGTTAATCTGCGATTGTTGTGATTCTCTTGCAGCTGAGTGTGGGAATTCAGTCACGGGCACTCAGGGTACTTTGCTGTCCCCCAACTTTCCTGTGAACTACAATAACAATCACGAATGCATCTACTCCATCCAGACCCAGCCAGGGAAGGGGATTCAGCTGAAAGCCAGGGCATTCGAACTCTCGGAAGGAGATGTCCTCAAGGTAAAATTGATCATTTCGTAGAGTATGTATGCTGTAGTATGCAAAAGTGTGGTCAACGCTCATTTGTTTCTGTGTGAATTATCCAAACACTCTCCTTTCCTCCTGAGACCCAAGATAGGGTCCTCACTCATCTGGGAAAAAGTGAGGACCAAAAAGAGAGAGGTATGTGAGTGTCCAAGACTATGGTTTTAGAAGAGTTTGCTTAGAAGCTGCCTGCTATCATATACACGTGAAATTGAATATGGGTTGACCACATAATAAGAAATAATAATAAATTCAGTTAGAGCAGCAGTGGATCCGGGTTTTCATTGTGAACCCTGACCATCAACACGGATAACAAAGATCTCATAGGATGTGTGCACGTGTGCACACGTGCGTTCATTTATGCAGCTATGTGTTTGTGGATGTGGCTTCTTTTATATTTACATTTCCCCATGTGTGTGAATTGGTATCTACGTATTCATATGGTTTTGGGCCCCTGTGTCTGTACGTGTGTCCGTGTGTTTTGTGTATGTACACTTGTGCGTGTTTCAAGTCTGTGTTTCAGTAGACTGCTAGGCTACTACAGTGGCTTCAGTGTGCCATGACAATGGCCTATGTGTGGCACTGGGGTTAAGGAAAGTGAATTCAAGACACATGTAAGAGAAAGAAATGACAGGACCTGGATTACAGAGCGGGTTATAAAGAGGGAGTTGTTAAGACTCTGAGCATGTATATATCTTGTATTTCTTTGTATGTGTGTGATTAAGTGGGTATCTCCAATAACATGTGGGGCGTGTGTGTGTGTGTGTGTGTGTAGTCAGAGTTGACTTTAGAGAATTTATTAAAGAGCTGCCTTAATAAAATGGATTATAAAGAAAATCTCACATATAGTGTGTCTATTTTCATTCTAAGCTAAGGAACTTTTTAGCTTATTCTATAATAATATAGTTTTATTATTCCCTGTAGCCAGAGAAGTCTGACACTAGAAAAACTTGAAACAACCAGGGCCACTACTCTGGAAAATCCAAAGAAAAACCATTAAATCCACATCCTTTTGAATTCTCTCTGGATGTGATAAATGTACTGTCCTTTTTATGTACAGATGACATTGTGGCCCACCTGCTGGGGCATGCGTTCTCTTATTCGTGTGTGTATGTGTGTGTGTGTGTGTGTGTGAGTGAGAAAGGTGTTTCTCACTCTTACCTAATCCTTTTTGAATCCAAGAAGATGCACTCATGAGATGACTGGGTGGGACTGGGTGTGCATGAAATAGGATAGAACAATTCCACTGGCTTCTTGAGCTCCACTTTCCAGCCCCACATAAACACAGTGTGCGTCTCCAAACAAGAGAGCACAAGACAAGGCTTCATACCCTTCCGACGACCGTGTCTTTAGGCATCTCCCTTGATCCGCTCTTCTCTCCATCCGTCTGTTAATCACCAACAGCAGAACCCCACAGGCTACAATTGGGACAGTGAGGCCAGAGGGACTTCCTCTCTGGAGTGACACAGATGGAAGTGATGTGAGCTGGGCAACGCAGAGGCCTTCTTGGATGAAGGCCGTCAGCAGAGAAAGGTGGCTTTGAGGCACAGGTTGCAGTTTTCAGGATTTGAAGGAGTTACGAGCAGTGGTTCTGTGCATGTGGCCTGATAGGGCCAGCAGAAATGGCTCTTAGGTTGCTGGAGGTCACATGGTGTACGGCCAGTGCCTGAGCTTCTCACTTAGAGTGGTCTAGATTCAGAGTAGCACTGAAGACATAGTCAACAGGTGTGTACGCTCATTGCCCTGTCGCGGTTTGGCCTCAGGGTCAGGTGAGCAGCTTAGTAGACAGGCAGAGGAGAGACTTCCTGAGGTAGTCAGGGTAAGAAAGGAGAGATGGGGGGCATAAAACCTAGGTCAGAGGTCAGGGGGGCTCTCACAGGAGGCAGGACCTCAGGTAGTCCTGCAGGGTTGTGGGGAGAGGGGCCTGAATAGCTGTGTTCCTCAGGGAGGACCTTCCCAGACTCCAGACTTTGTCACCTGTCCAGTGGGCCCTGCCACCCAGCCTTCTGATATTGGGCCTGATGTTCCAGGCAGTGAACATCTTATTCCTGTGTCTAGGCCTCTTTAGTTCTCCTTATAAGGTCAGGCTGTGGCTTCTGACCTGGCTGAAAGCCCATCCAAGGGACCCCGTGACCACAGAACTTCTAGAACGAGGTCCTGGGGGAGGAAGGACAAGGTATGCAGGGATATAGGGATGGCGACATGTATCACCTTCCTGTTCTCTCGTCCTCAGGGCTGCTCGCCCTCCTGAGGGAGAACCTAAGACATCCATAGGTACCAGAGCTCTTTCAGAAACAAAAGAGACTCTCAGTTGTGGTTTCCCAAATGGGATTCACAACTGCCCTGCAGCCATGATCAGCTGCAGTAGCCCTGCTGTTTAAACCTGTCACTCTAGCCTACCTCGACACAAATATCTGCAAAAGGAGAGCGAGAGAGTCAACTCCAGGAACATCCTGCTCTTGCCCTGGTGTAATCAACCCACCTGCTGTAACACTGGCACCTTCCTAATCTTGAGGACCTGACTGTCTCTCCAAAGAAGCCCTGATGCACACCTGAACTCCTGACCAAGGAAACCTGTCACCTCCTCCACGCTTTTACTCATCTCCAAAGATGCAGTGTTTCATGCATCTGACTAACCCTCCAAACCTTCTGTGGTCTTGCATTTCTGACCCATGAGATGCCTGTTTTCTTGCATGTGTGACCTGAGATCTGTTCCTTACCCTCAATAACTGCAGATTTCTTAAACATCGCCCCCTGCCACTCCAGAACCTCCTGACTTTTATTATTTTGGTACCTTCCAGGTGATCCTTGCTGCTACCCTGGCATGAGCAAGACAGGAAGGGTCTTTAAATGCAATGGTATGGAAAGACAACTTCCAGCTCAAGATAGGAAATGAAGCACATGCATATAATTCCATCTTCTACGGGTTCCCATTAGAATGACTAAATGGACACAAAAACAGAGGAATGTGGTCTCAGCACTATAAATTAGGCAAGGGTGCCTTTCACATACAACTTAAAGAAATTTCTGCCAAATGAAATGCCCAAGAGAGAATCCAGATTGAGAAAGGGCCTAATCAAACCACAAATCACACAAGTGAAGTGAAATCCTACCTGTGGATTAAGTGCTAGAAACCTTAAGGAAACTTAAGACCACCTAGCTCAGAGCAGCAGAGCCTAGGGCTGAGGACATGCCATGGACCATTGGCAGGGACCAGCTCTCAATCCTACTAGCTCCTCTGGAGTATGCTAGGTCTGAGAGACCACACAGAGCCAAGTCCCTCTTGACATGATATTTTGGCCTTTGTTTGGCTTTTGTTCACAAGCCAGGTACAGCAGGGTGATGCCAAGGCTGATTCCACAGGCACACACATGTACACATGCATGCACACACACGTACTCTTTAGCACAAGGGGTAGGAAAGGCTCCTGCTATGACCTCTTTGGGTTTAGCTCTTTTGCTTTCTCTTAGAGACTACTGGGTTTTCCATTCCCCATTTCCATTCTCGCTTTGTATGGCATTCCCACAAGAAAACTAAACGGATATGTGTAAATATTCAGTAGATCAGAAGTAAGAGACCTGTCTGAGGAATCGAAGCTAATTGCCCCTCTGTACACAGCAGAGAAAAGAAAAATACTTTAAAGGCTCCTAATTTGTATTCTTAACAGGATTTGAGAGAATATTATATTTATGACACAAAAATAGGCAATAATGAAAGCAGAGCAATCTGAGATGAGGAAAGATTGAATAGAGATGAAAAACATGATCGCCCAATTAAAAAACGGAATGGAGGTAATGAAGGGAAGATGGCAAACCACAGAAAAATGAAATCAGTTTATTGTAAGATCAATTTGAGGACTTCTCCCACATCTCATAAGGAAATGAAAAAGGATTCTTTTATATTAATAAAATGTATAATCAATCCACAGTAAAACTTTATGTGCCAAATAACATAGCATGAATAAATTAAAGGAAAACTTCTGGAAATGTAAGGAAATTTTAATGAAGTTACAGTCATCATGGAAGATTTTAATATATCTCTGTTAGTCCCTGACATATCACCTAGGTTAAAAATAAATAAGGATTTGGGTAGCTTGAATAACATAACAGAATAAATCCAAAGGAAGTAGGAGAAAGATACTTTCAACAATAAAGGCAGAAATGACTAGAAAAAGAAAACTAAAGAACAGCAGCAATTATCAGCAAAATCAACTAGTTCTTTGAAAAATAACTAATAAAATAGACAAACTGGCGGGACTGATCAAGGAATAAAGAAGCCACAAATGTGTGATATCAGGAATGACAAAAGGGATATAATCATAGATAATAGTCGGGATTATGGAAATAAGAAAATATTTAAGAACAACTTAGGAAATCTGAGCCAAGAAATCTGAAAGCTCAGATGAGATGGAAATTTTTATTGATAAAAAGTACTAATTTCAGAAAATGAGAACTTGGAAAAAACCAATAACTATTAAAAAATTGGACTTCACCCATATTCTCTCTCAAAAGCCACAGGCTTAGACTATTTTACAGGTAAGCTTTAACAAAACTTCAAGAAACGATCAGTTCTTGCAATAATCAAACTGTTTCAGAAAAGAGAAAAATAGAGACCCACCTCCCAACTTGTTTTTTAAATTGAGGCAAGTAGAAGCATTGACATCAAAGAGTAGAATGATGGTTATAAGAAGCTGCGGTGGACGGGGGGAATGCGGGAATGATGGTCAAAGGGTGCAAAACCTCGGTTAGACAGGAGAAATAAGGCTTTTCTTCTATGAGATCTATTGCACAGCATGGTGAATATTATATATTATAATATATTGTGCATTTCAAAATCACTAAGGGAGTATATTTCAAATGTTCTTACCAGGAAAACATGATATGTATTTGAAGTGATGGTTATGTTAGTGAGCTCGATTTGTTATTCCACAACGCAGTCATAAATCACAACATCACTGTATACCCTCTACATATATGCAGCTGTGATTTTATCAATTTATAATTAAAAAATAACAGAAACTATTAGGCCAGTCTCACTTATGATCATAGATCTAAAAATTCTAGATACAATATCAGATTGAATCTAGCTGTGTATTAAGACAAAGATGACCAAGTAGGCTTGATTCCAGGAATATAAGGATGTGTCAAAACTAGAAAAGGTCATAATGTTATTTGTTAGACAAACCATATGAAATTGCCATTTTTGTAGGTCAAAGCTGGTCAAATATTGGCAATTTCATGTGGCTAAACCTAATATCCTATAAACAGATTACAAAAGAAAAACACATTATGCTGCTAATATACCCCAAAATATCATATGGTAAAATTTAATAACCACCCATGATTTTTAAAAATATCTCATAAAATTGTGAATAGACTTTCTTATTTTGGTAAAAAGTTTAAACTTCCTAAGGATTTCCACTAAAGTCAAGAACAAGACCAATAGCTCTACTATCACCAATAATATTCAGCATTGTACTGAAGATTCAAATCATTACAATTATATCCCCAAAAAAGAAGATATAAAAATTAGGAAGGGGTATAAAAATTGTCTCTTTTGTTTAGAAAATGCAACATAATCAACTAATAAATTATCAGAACCAGTAAGACAATTCAGCAAAGCTGCTGATGTTTCTGTAACCAATTAAAACATGTAATCAGGTGGAGAAATCTCATTTATAATAGAAACAAAAACTATAAGACACCTAGGAATAAGCCCCCAAAAATGTTCATAATCTTTACTGAGAAGATGATAAAACTTTATTTTAAAGGTGCTATAACTAAAATAAATGCGGGGAAAATTCATGCTTGTGGATGAACAGAGGATATGAACAGGCAATTCACAGAAGAGGAAAGTAGAATTGTTAATAAACATGTGAAAAGATGCTCAACCTCAGTGGTAATCAAGGAAATATAAATTAAAATGAGATACCATTTCACACCCATCAAATTGGAAAAAATCATGATGCCTGAAAATACCAAGTGTCAGCAAGAATACAAAGCCATGGGAACTGTCAGACGTTGCTAGTGAGAGAATAAATTGGTACTCCTCTTTGGAGAACAATCTAGCGATGTCTAACCAAGCTGAAGATGGGCCTTCCCTGCACCCAGCTTCTCCACCCTACACGTATGCCCCAGAGAAACTCAAGCACATGTGTGCAGTGGACATGCAGGCATGCTCATAAAAATGATGCTTACCTTTGTAAACGTGTTTTAAAAAGCTATCCACTTAGCATATTCATTTTGAAACCAGCCATGTTGCTGCCTTATTGCATGTGGCAAATGTGCATGGAGTCTCTTGGATTTCTCAGAGAGACATTTCCATCACCTGCATATGACGATGAACTGGACCACCAAATAATAGCCTGTTAGGAAATAATGTATGCAAAGGCCCAATTCCCAACAGCAATCAAAAATATCAAAATACCCAGGAATAAGTACAGAATGTCACTGACAGACATAAAAGTCAATTTGGTTAAAATGGAGACAGACACCATGTATATGGATAGGAAGACTTAATATCACACAGACACTTTTTTTTTCTCAAATCGATCCATACATTTAATGTAACTCAGTCAGAATTATACATTTTGGGCCAGGTGCGGTGGCTTATGCCTGTAGTCTCAGCTACTTGAGAGGCCAAGACCAGAGGATCGCTTGAGCCCAGGAGTTTGAGGTTGCAGTGAGCTATGATGATGCCACTGCACTCAAGCCTAAGTGACAGAGCAAGACTGTGTGTCCAAAAAAAAAAGAATTACATGTTTTGTTTGGGCAGGGGTGTTTTATTGATTGATTTGGGAAAATTCTTCTTCAGTTTATCTAGAAGAGTAAATCTGGGAGAATAATTTGTTTTGTTAATAAGTTAAAAGAAGACAAATAAGAACTTTCCCTACTGAATATTTAAATAGATTATAAAAGCTACAATAACTAAAACAGTGTGGATCATGTACAGGAACAGACAATAGGCAAATGTAATAGACTAGAAAGTTGACAAACAAAACCAAATTTATACAATTAACATGTGAATTATATATTTGAAAAAGATGGATTTAAAATTGGTGGTGGTTGGAATATTTATAGACAGTGTTTTGCTAAATGGCTAATCTGTCAGGGGGAGGGGGATAAGGAAGACTCTTATGTCATAAGCCAAAACAAACTCCAGGCAGATTTAAGAACAGAAGTACTCAAGGAAGACATTGGTTTATTTATCATGAGTTTACCGAGTGCCTCTTATGTGCCAGGGCACATAGTTTAGACACTGATACATGAATAATTATACTGTGGATATGGGTTAATTTGATGGAAATCCCTGCAGCTATTTAAATGCTGTTGTGGAAGAAATATTTAATGACTTAAAAATATACACATTATATTAAGTGAAAGAAAAATTTGCCCTATAGTATCTATAGTTTGATCTTGTTTTTATAAAATAATAAAGAAAGCAGTCTATAGAGAGAAAGAAATGCATAGAACAAAGCCTGGAGAGATGGTCACCAAAATATTGTTAAGTGCTAAAAGTTGTTTATTTTTTTATTTGTGTTTTTCTGTTTTTAGAAGTTTTTCTGAAATGAGTCTTTTATTGTAATGACACAAATAACATTTTTGTTCTTGATGAATTAGGATGAATTATGCTTGGAAATTAAGGAAAATATCCTGTTCCCATCATACTTTTTATTAATTAACAATAATTTCTCAAATACCATCAAATATCCAGTGAATGTTCAAATTTCCAATTATCTCATAAGTGTCATAATACTTTTAAAATTTACAGTTTATTTGAATCAGGATTAAAATAAGCTCTTTTCTTATCCCCCTTGTAACATATTCGTTGAAGAAATCACGTTATTTGTTCAGTGGAATTTCCACATTCTGGATTTGGCTGACTACGTTCCTGGGGTATCATTTTACATGTTTCTCTGTCCTCGGTATTTCCTGTAAGTTGGAAATTCGATCCAGTGGCATGATCTGATCTAGTCTGATTTTTTTTTTTTTTTTTTGGCAAGATAACTCCATAGGCGGTGGTGTGTCTTCCATTAAGAAACACATGATGTCTGGTTGTCTTTCTTATTTCAGTGTTAGCAACCATTGATGATTAATGCCTTGATCCATTAATTCCAATTCACCCATTAATTTTAATGGGTAAATATATTTTTATTACAGTTTAGATACAGCAGTGGGCTAAACTCTTTGAACTGGTACCATTCTGATGTCTGTTGTAAGCCCAGGCTTCACTCAGTCAATCAGTGACATGAAGCAATTGCACATAGGATCTGGAAACAGACTTGACGCTCCCAAGAGCAGAAACAAATCTCTGTAATATACAGCACTGTTAGTTTGAAGGATGGCTTCTTTTAGAAAGCTTTGCTTCATAAATAGTAGAATGGAAATATTGTTCCAATTTGCTGGCAGCTGGCACCACATTGTGTGCCATGCACAAATATTCATCACCCACCCATAGCTCCCATCTTTGATATTTACCAAAGCACCAGGGGGTCTTTCACTCAATCACAACTTCTGTTGTTATTTGTACAATTATCTGGAAAGGAGCAGCAACCTCAAAACCTGGGGAGCCAGTTCATTATTCTGATGATTGTTGTCTTCGCTGGTGCTCAGAAGTTCAGGGGACAGATGGGAGTCGGGGAAGCCAGATGCCTGCACGATTCCACCCTTGGCAAGCAAGCCCAGCAGGCCCTAGCTGGAGCCCTCATTTTAGGAAGGAAGGGGCAGAGGCTGAGTTTGGGGAAGGGCAAGTCACCATGACATGCGGGTCATTTTAACTCCATCCTTCCTGGAGCCCAGGGATCACGTTCAGCAGAGTGGTGAAGACAGGCCATTGCCACGGTGGGTTGGGGTCAGGTTGGAGGATGGCCGTCTCATCCACTGGATGGCCAGGATTGAGGATTTAGCAATGTAGCGATGTCGAGTGCTTTCAGCCTGCCTGTCTGCAGAAACAGATGGCTTGGGAGGCAGGCAACCCCAACCTGGCCTCCCCAGGCTGCTGAAGAGTAAGCTGGTGCCATATGGGGGCTGGAGGAGCAAGAGCAGATCTCCATCGAAAAGGTTAGACTAGCAAACAGTTCCCAAAGACTAGATTCACACTAGAGACAGGCCGGGCACAGAACTGACACCAAGGGAAATGAGATAGCTTGCTCAGTTGCTAGCTTCCACTCTGCTGGTTTCCTTGCGTCTGATGACTCACTGAGCCTCTCGCAGTTGTTGTCAGTGCTAAACCCCAGAAATGTGGGCTGTGGGCTGGGAAGGCGAGGTTCTAACTAAGTCCGTGCTGACGACATTGGGTTGGGGGTCTCTCCTGTGTCCAGGTTTATGATGGCAACAACAACTCCGCCCGCTTACTGGGTGTGTTCAGCCACTCTGAGATGATGGGGGTCACTTTGAACAGCACATCCAGCAGTCTGTGGCTTGATTTCATCACCGATGCTGAGAACACCAGCAAGGGCTTTGAACTGCAATTTTCCAGTAAGTCTTTCTTGCATCTTTGTGGACAATGAAGGCAGCCTTCCCATTGTGTTCATTTATTTGAGCTCTGCTTGCCCACTAGCTACAAAGAATGTGCTCTTAGAGTCTGTTTTAAAACCCAGTGAGTGTCTAGCCACAGGCGAATGGATAAACAAAATGTGATATGTCCATACAGTGGAATATTATTTGGCCACTAAAAGGAATAAACTGCTGAGACATTCTCGAACATGGATGACCCTTGAAAACATGATGCTAAGCGAAAGGAGCCTGTCGTGAAGGCCACATATTGAATGATCCCATTTATATGAACTTTCCAGAAGAGGCAAATCCATGGAGACAGAAAATCAATGGGTAGCTCCCCAGGGCTCAGGGAGTTGGGGGAAAGTGGGTATAGAGCTTCTTTTTGAAGTGATGAAAATGTTCTAGAACTGATTGTGCTAATATTAATAGTTGCACAACTCTGTGAATATATCAAAAGACATCAAATTGTATACTTTAGATGGGTGAATGTATGGCAGGTGAATTATATCTCAATATAGCTGTTAGCAGGAAAAAACTCAATGAGTATATTTAAGGTTCCCGTTACCTGGCTCTAGGCCGTCTGGCAGAGGGATCTTCACCTGGTACAGCAGGTGGTTCAGCGGAAAGAGGATTAAATAGAGTCACCTTTGAATTCCATTTCTATCATATGACAATTGTGTGAACAGTTCATTCAGCCTTCCCACATCAATGCTCTCAGTTGTAAAATGTAGAAAATTATACCTACCTGTAAGACTCCTGTGGATAACAAACGAGAGATAACACACGCACAGCACCATATAGTGGGAGCTCTGTATAAGTCTGTTTCCTTTTCCAGCCTTTTTCAACAGAGCATGTTTAAGCAAGTCATAATTGAGCTCTTAAACGTGCATTTAAAGTGACGTTTCCATATTACCCTATCTTATCAGAATGTCTCAGTGAGCACAATGGAAAGAAAAACTCCTGCCAACAAAATGCTATGGGGTCAAACAAAAGAAATAGAAAATCCAGACCCTAGGCCTGAAAACTATTAAAGCTGAAATCATTTACATATAGCAACAGGGAAACTAGTGCTCCTCAACCGTGCATAGAAATGTGGAGGGAATCCTGAGTGTTGAGTTTATCAGAACCTGGGGGTGGTGGCTAAGGAATCTTCCTTGAGGACGTGGCTTTGAGGGAGGAGAGGAAGCATGGTTTCTGCCACGGTAGGTCTTGCTCACTCCACCTCTTCTCTCTTTACCAGGTTTTGAACTCATCAAATGTGAGGACCCAGGAACCCCCCAGTTTGGCTACAAGGTTCATGATGGAGGTCATTTTGCAGGGAGCTCTGTGTCCTTCAGCTGTGACCCTGGATACAGCCTTCGGGGCAGCGAGGAGCTGCTGTGTCTGAGTGGGGAGCGCAGGACCTGGGACCGACCTCTGCCCACCTGCGTCGGTAGGAAGCCTTTTCCTCTGCAAGAAACCGCTCGGGTCTCTGGTAACCCTGGTCTAGCCCTGGTCTCATTCCGGTTGAGCTCCATGCTCCAGGGCCTGCCGGCCGCCTACCTGCACCAAATCCTCCTATTAGCAGGCGTCACGATCGCCTGCACCTTCTCCACGCCCTGGCTTTCACGCCTCGTTACACCCGGGCAGCAGCACAGTCTGGCAGGGTGGCTTGCCTTTGTCACGCATTTAGCAAGTGGGTCCAGAGCCAAGTCATGTCCTCAGAAGTCATGGGGAAGAGGTGGTAGAGTCCCTTAGAAAGGGAGAGGTGGCACTTTTGCCTGAGTTCCAGCGTTTCTTCTTCCAAGAGTCAGACGAGTCTCCAACTCACTCTGGGTCTCAGCTCCCCTATAGGTAAAATGGGTCTCATGTTCCCCTTTCTAGGGGAAAGATCGAGATCATTAACTAGCATCAATCTCGCTCTAAGAAAGAATGCAGCAATGAACTTACATCTCCTCAAACCTGTGGTTCTTCCAGAATACCAGCAGAGGCTTTCTAGAGGCGTTATGTGTGCATCACAGGACAAAAGATGGTGGTTCAAGGCTGAAGTGCAAAATAGCCAATATCGGTCATTCTGTTTGTCTGGCCTTTTCATCTCTCGCCACCCACCTCCCCGGTAATGGGGATCCCCACCACACTGCTTCATCCTGTCTCCCCAGCACCTGGCCTTGCCCTCTCTGCACCCCCTTCCCCCGTCCCCATGCAGCACTGGCTGATCTTGTAAGAACAAAACGTCTACTGAAAAAACATGGAAAAACAAGTCCCACATTGCCAGAATTGCTGCAAGTGTGTGTCTGGATGGAGACGAAAAAAAGAAAGAAAGAGTAAAGCCTGTTCCCTGCCCTTGGGGAGCCCATACTATAGCAAGGAGAATAGACACATAAACAGATAATTATCATACCAGAGAAGCACTATAAAAGGAGTTATGTGCAACGTGTTGGGAGGATATGGGAAAGTTTTACATGGAGGTGGTATTTCAACTGAGACTTGGAAGGATGGGTTAGAATTCACCAACAGGAGGGACGAGGTGAGGATATAGACATTCTGGCCTGAACAGGTGCAAGGGCTGAAGGCATGAACTTAGATTAGACTCTCAGAAAGGGGACAGACCAAAGCAGTGGCCTTTCCATAGCCTCTAGGTTCTTCCTTTCCTTTTGTCCTCAAGGTTGACCCAGTCTGCAGGTGTATCCCTTCCCTCTCTCCCTTCCTCCCTCTCATCCCTTCTGTCTTCCCCATACCAGGCCCTGTGCAAGGCACTAGGAATTCAAAGAGAAGCAGATCCCAGGTATCCGGGGAGGTGCCTGCATAAACAGACGGCAGCATAATGCCACAGGCAAGCAAGCCAGAGCACACAAAATGCAAAGGAGGGGTGATGATTCACATATAAGATAATTATTTGCTTTGCAATAAAAAGAATTCACTGTTAGATTCCTATGAATATCAAATATACTAGCTGGGGCTGGGTGTGGTGGCTCACACCTGTAATCCTAGCACTTTAGGAGGCCACGGTGGGAGGATCGCTTTAGGCTAGGAATTCAAGACCAGCCTGAGCAGCATAGCAAGATCCCACCTCTACAAAAAGTAGAAAAATTAGCTGGGTATTATGGCATGCATCTGTAGTCCCAGCTACTCGGGAGGCTGAGGCAGGAGGATCCCTTGAACCCAAAAGTTTGAGGCTGCAGTGAGCTACGATGACACCACTGCACTTTAGCTGAGATGACAGAGACAGACCCTGTCTCAAAAACAAAAAAAAATAAAATGTTCCAGTTGGACTGGACTGATTGGATCCTCTCAAGCCACATTAGTGAGAGCATTTATACTTAGAAACCTGGAGGCCTTCCGCATGGAGACTCCCTCTGGCCCCACTGCTATTAGAAGAGTGAGGTTTGTGTATATTTTTATATATGTCGTGTTGTGGTAGACTTCATCCTGGTCTACCAGAAATGGCTGCCATGGCTTAAAGCATCCAAAAGTTTTCTTCACTAATGAGTGGACTCTGCAGCCCAAACAAAGCAGCCACGGCTATAGGATGGAAGAAAGGAAAAGACGAGAAAGAGCAGTCTTCAGCCTTGATGCTGGTGGATCTGCTGCGTGCCAGCCCACTCGGCCCCCTCCTGCCACCCCCTGGCCCCAGACCAGGTGTCCTGTGGGGAAAGGAGCAGGTGTGTCTGTGATGACGGGCTCCCCATGGCTGCTGCCTCCAAACACTTGCTTTCTGGGAAGCAGGAGGGACTTCCCCATCTGGAATATAGACGGAAGCTCTAGCCAAGGACATGGATGATGTCCTGCCACCTTTCCAGCTACCTCCTCTATTTGTAGAGCCAGTCAGGCCTCCTCCCCACAAATTGTGGTTCATCCTCTGACCAACGCCCTACTCCCTGCCTTGGCCCCATTCAGCCTGGTGCCTTCCAATCAGGCTGCACCTCGCATCCCAGGAACACCACTGAGGGAGGGCTCCCAGCAAGGCGTGAGCAAAGTATCTGGTAGAGAGCCCCTCCCCCAGTGCTTCTTTAATGGTCCTGTGTGAAGCCAAGGGGTTCGTGAGATATTTGTTGGGTCCTTTGTAGCAACAGGTAAGGGTCAGTCTTCCATCTGTGACCTTGATCCCTTCTCCTATTTCTTCTAGCATCTTGCCTGATCAACTGCTCCCCTCCCTAAATAGCTCTGCAATAGATATCCTCCTCTTCATTTTCACTCATGTGCCCTTGATTCAGACCCTTGTAGTAATTTGCCTGGAAAGCAATAAGCTTCTTTTGTTCATCTGACCATCCACCCGTCCATTCATTTAATAACTGTTTATCAAGCATCTATAATGTACCAAACACTATACTAGGCACTCGATGTGCAAATGTGAGTAAGACAAGGTCCCTGCTGCCAAGGAGCTTATAGTCTCATGATTTGAATGACTTGTTACACATACTGTGCTAAGTATCTACTCACATTGTAATTGAGACACAAGGGAGAACTGTGTCAACTCTGCCTGGGGAGGGGAGGGGTGTCACGAAAGGGATATTTGTCAGGTTGTTAGTCCAAGTGGAGACAGGAAGAGTCCCAGTTGCCTGGGCTTGTGGAGTTCATCAGACTTGGCTACACCACGGGGTTCAGGGAGGGGGCGTGGGAGGCCAAAGGGAGCCCCTCTGGTGGGCTTTATGGGCTCAACTGACGAGTTTGGGCTTCGTTCTGGGAATGAACGCAAGCAGCAACACGTTTGCATTTTATAAAGATCCCTCCGACAGCTCTGCCGAGGGTGGACAACGGTGCCAGCCTAGAGACGGTGAGGGCCTGGGCCCAGGCTCTAGCGATGAGGGCAGAGTAGGGTCAAATGTGAACATCGTCACATGGCTGCAGGGACTGGGTCTCAGAGGTAGAGCAGGTGGGGGACAGGAAGGGGAGGAGGCCAGGAGGAGCCAGCAGCTTCTGGGTTCAGTGACTGCCCGGATGGGGAGTAGAGATCTCTCCACTGGTCTCTCTGCTTCCATTTTCTCCCCTTCTGTTCCCCTTCAAACTGCTACCATGGTGATCTTTCCGACAAAGTTCGCTAATGTGTGACGTGATCAATTCACTCACACGTATAAACACCACAGTTCTTTCCTGCAGCAGTAAGTGTACAACAGCCTGGTGTATGACACCCGTCAGCCTGTGATGCTGGCCCAGCTTTCTAGCCTCGTCTGCCACCTCTCCCCAGCTCGTGCCCTGGCCTCCAGCCTGCCACGCGGTTCCTCACCTCCAGGGACTCTGCACCTGCCCTTCCCCCTTTCTGCAATGCCCTCTTCCTCCTGTCCTTTCCATCCCGCCACTGCCACCCAACCAACCTGCTCAACGCCTGCTCCTCCCTCAAGGGTCACAGGAATCCATGGTTCTCCCTGACTCTCCCTGCCCTGTGCTGGGGGAAACTGGTCACCTTTGCCACCACTTGCCATGAACGTGCCATTGTTAGGGCACACAGCACACACAGCAGCTGTCTCCTCTACTAGACTGTAAACTCTTCCAGAGGAGGGGCAGCATCCTGTTGACCTCTGTCCTCCTGGCAGCCAGCACAAGTCCTGTTGCTGGCAGCGAGCAGGCTCGAGTATGTGCATGTTCCTCCTAGGGAGGCTTGGAGGAGCTGGCCTACAGAGTAGGCAGTCAGCCCTGCACCCCAATTCCTTTTTTGTTTAATGGTGTCCAATTCAATTTTTTTTAATCTATTCACAGGGTTGTGCGACCACCACCATGATCTCATTTTGGAACATTTTGTTTCCCCAAATACAAACCAAATACCCCATTAGCAGTCACTCTCCATTGTCCCCTACCCCCAGGCCCTGGCAGCCACTAACGGACCTCTGTCTCTAAGATGTGCCTGTTCTGGATATTTCATATAAACGGAACCATGCGATGTGTGACCTTTTGTGTCTGGCTTCTTTCACTTAGCTAATGTTGTCAAAGTTCATCTATGTTATAGCGTTTATCAGAGCCCATGTTTCTCTTTACGGTTGAATAATATTCCATTGCATGGATTTACCACATTGTGTTTATCCACTCATCAATTGATAGACATTAGATTTGTTTCCATCTTCTGATTACTATGAATAATGTTATGAACATTCATGCTCAAGTTTTTCTGTGAACACACGTTTTCATTTCTCTTGGGTGTATACCTAAGAGCAGAATTGCTGGATTCTGTGTAACTGAGTTTAACATTTCAAGAGACTCCCACGCTGTTTTTTTTTTCTTTTATTTCAGCATATTATGGGGGTACAGATGTTTAGGTTACGTATGTTGCCCTTGGTCCCCCCCCCAAGTCCGAATTTCAAATATGTCCATCCTTCGGGTGGTGCGCATTGCACTCTTTGTGTATATAAATATCCGTCTCCCACGCTGTCTTTGAAAGCGGCTGCACCATCTTCCATTTCCACCAGTAATGCAGGCAGGCTCCAGCTTCTCCACATCCTCATCTACAATTGTGATTTTCTGTCTTTTTGACTTTAGCCATCCCCATGGGTGTGAAGTGGCATCTCATTGTGGTTTTGATTTGTATTTCCCTAATGACTAACGATGTCAAACATCTTTTCATGTGCTCGTTGGCTATTTATATATCTTCTTTAGAGAAATGATTATTCAAATCCTTTGCCCATTTTTAATTGGGTTATTTGTCTTTTTACTGTTGGGTCATAGGAGCTCTTTATAGGCTCTGGATACAAGTCTCATCCAAGGACCTTTTTATATGCTGTGTTCAATCACCTGGAATGAACAAGAGGGACTCGGGCACACAGGGGAGAGGAGCCTCTGAGTGACTGCTGCCGGCTCAGGCCACCCCATGAAGCTCACTCTTTTGGGATTTCTTTCAGCTGAGTGTGGAGGGACAGTGAAAGGAGAGGTGTCGGGGCAGGTGCTGTCGCCCGGGTATCCAGCTCCCTATGAACACAATCTCAACTGCATCTGGATCATCGAAGCAGATGCCGGCTGCACCATTGGGTAAGTGTCAGGGCTGGCAGAGTGACCATTGCCAGCTGTTCGGGGAAGCCACCCACTGATGCCCAGGCCCGCCTGCCTCACCTGGAGGCCCCTGTGATCAGGAGTGGTTGCTGTGGCCCCAGGCTTGGGCCGGGTCCCATGGAAAGGCCAATCCCCGCCTCACAGGGCTGCATCCTGAGTCCACGCACCTCACCGGCCTCCACAGCACAGTGACAGCTCAGTGGCTGAGGGCATGGGCTTGAAGTCACAGAGTCCCTGGTTGGAATCCAGCCTTTCCACTTACTGTTTGCAGGACTTTGGGCAAGTCCCTTAACCTCTCTGAGTCTCACTGTCTCCTGTGGAGCATGAGTGTCAGGATAACGCAACATGGAACATACTAAATGTTTAATAACAGTTGTCGTGGTTATTTCTAAGACAATTAGTAAGGGTCAGCTCAGAGCTATGTGACCCCAGGCAGGTTGCTCCCCTCTCTCAGTCTGAGTTTCCTCATCTTTAAAATGAGGACAAAAATATTTGTATTTTAGGGGTGCAGAGGGAATAAATGACAAAAGCCCAGCAGTGTCTGGTACATGGTATATACTCCCTCAAAATACAGCTTCCTTCCCCCATTAGCACCTGACTCACAGGAATCCTTCCTGGACTTCCAAGGGGTCAGAGAAGAAGGGAGTATCACCCTTTATTGAGCACAGAGCCTGTCTTATTAACTCTTCTCAATAGCCCTACTGATGATAATAATAAGCCCTGATAATAAATAGACACAATTATTATTGTTCCCATTGTATAGATGAGAAAACTGAGATTCCAAGAGAATGTCTAGCATGTCTAAGTTTGCACAGGGACTCAGAAAGCTGGGATCTGAAGCCAGGTCTTTCTGAATCTTCACCCTATATCACACTCCTGGCAAAGCTGGGCCTTGGGCTGTGGTTCAGGTGAGCTATGAGGAGAAGAGCAGGTTGGGGTAGCAGGATGAGCAGAGGTGTGAAAAGGAAGATAGAACAAGGGAATTGGGAAGGAAAGAGTCAGGCTGGAGTAGGGGATACTTGTGGGTAAGGAATGGGAGATAGATAGGGTTTGAGTGTGGCCTGGTTGTGAAGGATCTTAAATGCCAATAAATAAGAGGGAGCCATGGTAGGTTCTTGAGCAGGGTTTGTCCACGAGCGTTATTTGCAGCGCAGAGAGCTCCTGGGATGGCAACCATCAGGAGTCCATTGCAGTGATCCAGGAATGAAGTGTTGAGGATTTGGAAGAGTGGGGGGCCAAGCAAAGGAGCAGATGTGTAGCTAGAAGATCCCTGCCCTCGAGAGTTTGCAATTAGGGAGAACTGGCTGAAGGGGTGTGTTGCTGTAAGAGAAATAGATGTTCACAGATGTGTGCGTGTCCTTAGACTCAGTTCAATTAAAACTAAAGAAATGTACTAAGTGTTTACTATGTGCAAGTTTTCAACCTAACCCCTGTGCAAAATGAGGTCAGCGGCACTCTCAGGGACTTTGCACTCTTCAGGGGAGAAGCGAAATACACACGTTCGTCCTGCACACCCCTGCTGGGACAACCTGGAAGCACACCTGGTTGATTCACCCTCTGATTAGAACCTTCCAGTGCACCCCCTGCTCACAGAATGAAAGCTAAACATCTCGTCCCGGCTCCCAGGGCACTGTGGCCTCAGCCTACCTCCCTGACCTTGTCCACCACTTCTCTTCAGTGACATTCCAGCAAAGTGCAGTTACTGGTGACCCCTGTACATAGACAGGCTCATGGCCGAGCTCTGTGCCTTTGTTTCCTCATCTGGAATGCCCTTCTCCCTCCAAAGGCTTCTGTCTAAAATTCTCCATCCGTCAAAGTCAAGTGCAAATGTCAGCTCACCCAGGAAGTCATTCCTCATCCCCTCTCTTGGAGGACTCCTAGGAGTCATTTCTCCCTCCTCCACACTCCCATTGCCGATGGCCTCTATTTGCCTTATGTCCCTGGCCACTTTTCCCCATTATTTATGCTTGCGCCTGACCTCCCCTCCTGGAGCTGTGTTCTATGCCTGATTGATCTTCGCGAATCTACAGTGCCCAGGGCTCAGCAAGTGTCAAGTGTTTGATGAGTGAATGAATGAATAAATGAATGAAGCAGGACTCGAGTATAAACGAGTTATATGACTAGTGGATCCATGATAGTCCTTCAATAAATAGTGAATGAACAATGAGTGAATCAACAGCATAATGACTATTTGGCTTTAATATTTCACACATATGCAAATCAGGAGGTTTTCCCACTTTCCCAACCTGGACCATCATTCATTCATTAATTGGTTCATTCCCTCTCGTAACAACTACCTGTTTGTTTACTACATGGTCGTGCCTGTGCGAGGTGCTGGCGTTACGTAGATGAATGAGACCAGGTCACTGTCCACCACGATGACCACCACTGTCCACCACAGAACTTGTATGCACAGAGCAAGGCAGTGGCTTAGGGAAGAAGGGGAATGAAAAAGTGGGCAGGAGGAGGTGGGGAGAAGTTGTCCTGGAAGGCTGACACGAGAGCCGAGACCTGAGGGATGGAGAGGAGGTTGCCAGGTAGCCGAGGAGGAAGGTTGGTGGGAGGGACGGGGCCTCCCAGGCGGAGGAAGTGAAGCAGTGTGGCCAGCCTCAAGGAGCTGGAAATGGCTCCCGTGGCTGGATGGCCGCCTGCGGCTTGCTGGGTGGCAGCATCTTGGGGGCTAAAGCTGGTGGAGGAGGCTGCCACAGAGCGAGGACGGCCTCGGGGGCTGCGATGCTGCGTTTGGGCAGCTCCTGGCAGCTTTGTGGCAAATGGGTGGGATGGAATAGGCCCCAGTGAGGGGGCCTGAACCCAGGCACTGGCAGTGGAGATGGAGAGATAGGGACAAATTCAGGGGACATTCAAGTGGTCACACCAACTGATCTTGCTCTCTTCAGTAGATATGGAAATTGAGGTTTCTTCACTTTCCTTTTTTGCTGGGTAACATGCAATATGTAAAACATAGGGAAAAGTTGGAGGAACAGTACATCAAGCGCCTGTATACCTACCACCCAGACTCAGCGACATTTTGCTGTATGCGCTTCCTCTCTTTCTTATTTCCTTCCCATCTTTTTCCCCCCTTTTTGCTGAATGACACAAAAGTACATTTTAAACATCATGATATTTCATTCCTAATTACTTGGGCACACGTCTTCTAAAGAGAAGGGTACACTCCACCATGACATAGCAATGGTAGCGTACCCGAGAGCTGTAGCATTAATTCTCCGGGAATTAAAGTTTCGGACAAGGACTGGGGGAGAGCAGGGCAGATGTAGGAGCGACTGAGACATGGAAAGCACGAGAAATCAATGGAGGAATTTCTGGGCAGGAGTGAGGAGTGTTTGCTCTGCTGAGAATGCTGGGCGTGCAGGTGGTGGGGAGACAGGAGGCTCCCTTCCTAGCCCTCGGGAAAACGAGATTGAAACAAATACAGGAAGTGTCCTCTCCAGAGTGGTGTGGCCAGAAACACGAAGTCATGGGGGCTGCTGAGTGTGCGTGTGGGGACCCCGAGACAGGCAGTAGTGGGAGGAAAGTGAAGATGCCATCAGTCCTCAATCTGGAATGCTTCTTGAAGCCACAGCAACCTCCAAGGGGCTGATGCTAAGTAAGCAGAGGACAGCTGCTGAGAGATGGAGATGGGGTGATGAGACACCTTCCCTGCCTCATTCGGTCCCCTGGGGCAGCCTGCATCATGCACGCCTGTCCCTGCGCCTGTGCTCGCTCCCTCTCCCTCTGCCCCTCCCTCCCTCTCTCTTCTTCCCCCCTTCTTTCTCCTTTTCTCCTCTTTCTCTCTCTTACTCTTTTTCTCTATCTCTCCTTCTCTCTTCCACTTTCTCCCTCACTTCTCCACCCCCACACACACCCCTCGCTTGAATAACCAGAAGCAAAGTTAAGGGAACTCGTAACCACAGTTAGACAAACATGGAAAGCCCCTTTTGTGTTTGTGTCCTTATTTAGTTGTTAGCTTTTCCACTGGGAATGTCTGTATAGAATTTTTCATATCAAAAATAGATACTCATTTTTTAACTTCAAAGTACAAGCAATAAAAAAATTTATAAAGTAGAAATCAAATGTTCCCACAATCTTACTCTGTAATCTTTTTTATTTATTTATTTTTTATGTTATTATTTTTCATGTTTTTATTTTTTCAAGACAGAGTCTCACTCTGTCACCCCGGCTAGAGTGCAGTGGCATCATCACAGCTCACTGCAACCTCAAACTCCTGGGCTCAGGCAATCCTCCTGCCTCAGCCTCCCAAGTAGCTGGGACTACAGGCGCATGCCACCACACCTGGCTAATTCTTTTCTATTTTTGGTAGAGACAGGGTCTTGCTCTTGCTCAGGCTGATCCTGAACTCCTGAACTCAAGGGATTCTACCACCTCGGCCTCCCAGAGTGCTAGGATTACAGGCGTGAGCCACTGTGCCTGACTCTTTCTCTATATTCTTACTCCTCCTCACCCCCCACGTAAGATAACCATGATATCTGTTTGTTCTGCTTATCCTTTTAGATATTTTATGTGCCAATATGTATATAAAGCAAATGCAATAAACATGGTTTCTAAAACAAGATCAGCTCAGTGCATGGCCCAGTGACTTGCCTTTTGTTTTGCCACTTAATCATATATCATCATCTTATCATGTCAATAAATATAGATCCGCCTCATCCTGTGTGATGGCTACAGAGAACCTATTGTATGCATAACCATAATTTACCTACTCCCCGACTGATAAAGTGAACATTTTCAGCTTTTCACTCCAATGAACATCTTCATCCATGAATCTTCGAGCAGTTTTCCATTTATTTCCTTAGGATATACTCTTAGAAGGCAAAGTCTGATACATGACCTCAAATTTCCCTCTAGATATTTGTGGGTGCACCAGAAGTCTATGGGAGGCCGGCTTCCCCTACAGCACTAGATGTTGTCGATCCCGTTCATCTTTACCAAGTTCGTGAACAAAACGATGTTTGTCTTTGCTG